AGGTCTAAAAATAAAATAGCCATTGAATCAATGAAGGGCAATTCATAGTTTTTTTATTTATATTAGTATATAATAAATCTTTATAAACAAGATTTTAATATTTTAAGTATTTATTTATTAATTTAAAACTGTAATAATATTATTTTTACGTAAAGAATCACAGTAAGTGATATTATACTTTACTTACACTATGATTTGTTTTTTTTCCTTAAAAATGATATGAGAATCTATATTTTCTTATATAGATTGATTATTACAAAATGTAATTATAATTAGTATTTGAACTCAAAATAATAAAATTTAAGTCAATTATTTTAGTATTACAAAAAGAAGAAGATATGTGATTGAAATTAAAGTTTCAAACTGGAAAATAAATAAAAACATGTGTACATATACAGATTAAAGGTAGAAATATATAAAGTCATATATATATATATATATATATATATATATATATATATATATATATAAAAGGTATTCATTATAAGTAAAATTATATCAATTGTAGTTTACTCTATGAAAGAAGCTAACATTTTAAAAGAAAAAAATGACTTCCAAAATAATAAAAGAAAATTCTAAAGTAAAATTATCTTTAAAGTGAGTAAATAATAGGGGTGTTTGCGGTCTGGATTGAATCGATTTCAAAGTAAAAATATCTGATCTAATTCCTTCAGTTTGATTATTTAATCATCCATTCGGTTTCAAATCTGATCCAATCCAATCCAATTTTATTAGGTTTGGATTATATCAGTTTTCGATTTTTCGAAAAGGCTAAAATTTCATCTATAAAAATCACTAATTATATCAAAATAAAGCCATACAAAGTTACAAACTATTGAAAAATTCAAGTCTTCAAACTAAAACAAGTCTTAAAACTCATGAAGAGCTAAAATGGATTAATAGACAATAAAAAAAGTTTGTTATCAATAACTTCCAAGATTTTATGTCTACAAAATAACAAGATTCTAAGTCACCATCTTTCTCTTCCATACTTCAATCTATCAGCTTGCTCAATGCTCACTCTATGGTTTTCAAAACAATTAGCAATGTAGCAACTTTCATGAAAATAAGATATTAAGAGAGGGTTCAAGCAATAACAAATTTAAAATAAATACATGAACAATTGAAATTAAAAAATAGCAACTTTCATCATTAACTTTTAATCAGAATCCGTACTAGAATTATCATCAACTTATGTATTTGTAGAAATATCTAAAATTATTATAATAAAATATTGTTAGTAACTTAATAATTAGAAAAAAATAAAAAGATGATATAAAATTAAAAAATTATACAAGAAGAATAAAGTAAATTATCTATCTCCATCTTTACAAATTCTTCTATGAGCTCTTACATCATTGAAAAAATGAGTGGATTGGAACCAATTTTGTGCACATATTAATGTTTCAACTATCTTTGGAGTAAGAGAACTCTTGTAGTTGTTAAGAACTCTACCCCTAGTGCTGAGGAGGCGCGACGCGGGTGTGTGTGAATTTAGGAATAGTCTATTCTGGGGTTCAAAACTCAGGAAGTAACAAAGTAAGGGTTACTGAATCAGGGAAGATGGTATTAGTGAAATTTCAAAAATAATAAATACATAATACATTGAATCATTTTTTACCTACTAAATCGAAAACTGATCCAATCCAATTAAAATATGTAGTTTTTTCGGTTTTCGATTTTTTCGAGTTTTAGTTAATTCGGTTATCGATTTTTTGGTTTGGTCAATGCGGTTTGGATCAGTTAATGAACACTCTCAGTAAGTAACAACGTATTTACTGTTGAATTTTTTTTATACTATTGAATTTTAATGTATTAAGATTTGGATGCATCTTAAATTAACTGAATTTACTCACTTTAATAACAAGTTGACTTTAAAATATCCATTTAATGGAAGAAGAATTAAGATTGAGTTCTTCTTTAGTTCTGTTGGTGTAGATAGAATGGTGTTTCTAGAATGAGTTACATACTCCCTCGCACAATTATTGCGCATTCAAGAAATCAAAATTTGACAAATTCAGCTTCGGATCTTGTAAATTATGAATGTGAAATTTGTGCAGATAACTGCTCTAGAAACTTGTAAATGCAAACCATGTTACAAAAAATCTCGTGATGTCAAAATTTCTTTTGGACTATAATCATCAGCGCTAATTCCGAATCCTCAAATTCGTCAAAAAAAGTTTCCATGATGTATGCATGCTTTCCACCATTCAATTTTATGGGAATATATATTGTCCACAAATGTGTTCCAGAGGAAGAATAATAGCAGCACTATGCGAAGGTAGCCGTGAAATTGTGATAAATAATGTTAAAGGATTTGATAGGAAGCAACTTGGAAAAACATAAGAATTTTTTTTTTAAAAATCGGCGTCAACAACATGAATAATTATCAAATGAATTAACAGAAGAATGATATTCGTGATAATGGAATCTTATTATTTTATATCTAGTCTCTTATTATAATGCAATTTCAAGTTGTGCTCACAATAATGAAGCAGAAAGGCATGTTCATCTAAAGCACATTAGCCATGGTCCACCAATATTTATATTTACTCATGTAATAGCATTCTCCAAAAAAAAAAATATTTACTCATGTAAAAACATTTATAAGAGCTATTAAGTATCATGTTACGAAAGAAAAAACAGACAAAATAAAAAAACTAAAAACTATATTTAATGAGTTTTATAAGAGTTATGTTGTAGGAAAAGTGATTGTGTAATGTTATTGAGATTCGTTTTGCGTGCCGTAGTTTTTTTTTTTTTTCTTCAAAAAGTATGGGCCCCACAAAACGTTGTGTATGTAGGAAATTTTTTATGTCATGTTAAATGACGAATGCAAACTCCATATTTAATATAGGATTATTGTTTCTCTGTTATATGAGATAATTTTATTTCCGACACACACATAAAAATGTGTGAGACCCACATGACATCGTGTAAAGAGAAGAGAAAAAAAAGATAACATAGGCCCACATATTTTATGTGTATAAAAAATAAAATTATCTCCTACAATATACGAAACATTAATCTCATTTAATATTGGGTTTTATGTTTATCATTTAACATAATATAACTTCACTTTCCTACACACACATTAAAGAGGTGGGGTCCACATATTTTTCTTTCTCTTTCATCATTTCACTTTCTCTCTCCCTTTTGATGTGAGAGTTGAAAACAACACTTACATTATGTTACATAATACTCATAAAACCCTTTAATATTTCATGGACAACAAGCAAAGAGTTTCAAAATATTTATTAAATACCATACTTTTTGTTTAATAGTAATTTCATTTTTCTTCCTTAACAAATTAACAACGCAAAAGCAGTTAATTATTAGCGTAATCTCTCTTTCTCCTTTATTATATATAATATATATATGGCTAATCTCTCATTACCTCGAAATTCTATTCTCATACATACATACATTTTTTGAAAAGATGAATACTTTTAAGTGTAACTTAATTCTACATGCTAATTAATCCCATAACCACCTCGGAAAATTAAAACTTATAATTAGCTTAAAAAAATAATTAGAGTATGTATAAAAACTTTTTTTTATTCACGTACCGGAATTTATTCTCCGGATATTGTAACAACCAAGTTGTGTTACTATCAAGTTACTACCAATTAATCTCACCGTTAAATCGATTATGTTGATCCAACGGTTATATTTATTTCCATCTTTGTATGGTCATGATTTTCTAAATTTAATACTTTATATTTATTTTCACCTAGTATGGTTATGATTTTTCATATTTAATGCTTTCACTTTAAATATGAGGAATCATAACCATAGAAAGATAGAAATAAATATAATCGTTAGATCAACATAATCAATTTAAAGGTGAAATTAATTGGTAGTAACATAGTAGTAACACACCTTAGTTTTTACAATATTCTTCCTTTTTTTTTTACGTACAATAAGATAAGAGAGTCTTTAACCCTTGCTCATATGAGGATCGTTTGTTCTGTACTTTGCCTCGAAAAGGAGCTTTTTCACAGAGCATTGCACGTGAAACCCTGAACCCAATGCTCATCTCTGCCTCCATAATAAACCCTAATCCCAGAGAGAATGAGAGGCACACAGAGAGAAACCCCATAACCGCCCATCCTCCTTAATTATTCCTTGAAATGATTAATGTTTCCAACATCTATGACACAGATATCATCAACTAACAAAGAATATAGACATAAATTAACTGCAGCGACTCAAAAAATAAATAAATAAGCATGACCAAATACTAAAGATGGTGCTAATTAAGTCATTAGGATTGATCTAATGAGGAAAAATTTGAATTATTTACATAAATTCAAACCTCAGTGTTATTATTGTGTAAAAAATAAATGGTGCTAATTTTAAGAACATGTGGTAGCAGATAAAGTGGGAATGAATCATTATAATGATAATTGATGACTGAGTTAGTGCATGTTGTTCAAAGTACAAAGGAGGCTAATTAGTAATTCTTGTGACCAAGAGTGAGATTGATAAATTTATAAGAAAGGAGAAGGTCATAATTTTGTAGATAATTACCAGAATCAGCCCAAAAAAAAAACATAATTGAAGAAAAAAAAGAAAGATAACTGTTCACTTTTCTTCACCTGCAAAGATTACTGATAAATTATCAGACAAGGTACTAGAAGTTCAGAAAGAAAAAGGAGAAGACAGGGACAGATACAAAAAGCACATGCCACTGCTTCATCTGGAAGCAGCTAGGCTAGGAACACTTTACCCGAACTTGAGAAAAATAAAATAAAAACATTTTAGGTGTTATTTCAAAACCCCACAAATAAAAAAAAAATAAAACAAGAAATTTCACACCCTACTTCAAATCAACACTCAAACAGTACTGATCAAAAACCATGATCAAACGCTTTAATTAATCATAAACCAAGTTTTGTAAGAAGGAGCCAGAGAGAATAAACAGTGATTAAGAGTAAAAATAAAAATAAAAATAGAACTCAAAAAAAAAAAAAAAAAAAAAAACAGAAATAAGGAAAACTAAAACATATGGTTAAAAAGAAGGGCGAGTGGCACCCCAATAACCCTCAGTGGCAGCAGCTGGTAATTGACATGAATTGAGAAGATTCTGAGGAACCCCATGAAACATTGAAGTATTGTGATGATCTGCCACTAGTTGTTGTTGTTGTTGATGATGTTGTGGTTGTTGGTGATGTTGATGTTGATGCTGTCCTACAATTCCAGCTGACCCTGACCCTAACCCTAACCCTCCTCCACCATGCACCGCCACCGGCGGCGACGCCTCCTCATCTTCCTCCTCCAACGGCAGCCTTTCATATGTTGCATTACCGAATGAAGCCGCCATGATAACCACCGGACCGGAAGCCACCAAGGGCCCCACCACGCTGCCACCAACCACCTGACCTTGTGCACCGGCCAGATATATGGCCATGCCGGATGCCGCCGGCGGCGGAAGAAACGACCCGGACAAGGACAAGATCTCGAATCTTCCATGTAACGGCACAACTGCACCGGCAGTAGCTGGTTGCCTTAGGGTTACGTTGGCGACGGTGCCGGTGGCACTCAGAATGCAAACTCCGCGCTGTCTCCGCCGCGCAAAGGCGGCGATACCGTCAACGACGTCGCAACCGTCGCCGATTTCCATGACATGTGATCGGAGCGTGTTGGCACTGTCTCTGGAGATGATGATTGGTGGCTTTGGGTTGTTCTTTGAGCCTGCAGGTCTTCCTCTAGGTCTTCTTATACTCATCTCACCTTCTTTGCCGTCCACGGCGGTGTCGGCGGTGTTGGCAGCGGTGGTGTTGTTTTCGTGATCTCGATCTCGTTTTAGGGTTCTGTTCAAGAAGTGGTTATGGTTATGGTTATTGTTGCGCTTCTCATCGTCATCATCATCATCAACATCTTCTTCTTGTTGTTGTTGTTGGGTGTTGTTATGGTGGTTATGGAGATGATGAGGTTGGAATTGGTGATGAGGGTTTAGATGAAGATCTCCTCTAGTGAGAAAAGGAGGTGGTAGAGGACGACCTTGTGATGCTACATGATCCATTCAAATATATGCTTCCTATTATAACCCTAAATGATGATTTTGTTGTTCTCTTCCTTCAACATACACACACACACACATACAAAAGAAAAAAAGAAGAGATTGAAGAGAGAAAAGCAAAAGGAGAGATATAGGATATGATATGAGTGTGGTGGTGGTGGTGGTGTGTTTGTTATTGAAGTGGTTTTTGTTTTGTTTTGTTTTGTTTCTTTGGTTCCTTTTTGAGTGCTTTTGGTGAATGGGAAGGTGGCTGGCTAGCTATAGATGTTAATAGCTTATATTACTTAACTTCACTGGAAAAGGGAAAAGGAGTGTTTTGGTAAAACCCACCAAATTTTGAGCTGAATCAAACATCATTGGTTTTTCATGCTATAGAAGTGAGAATTGCTTGTTCAGGGTTTGGACTTTAGGAAGGAAAAGGGAGAAGAGAAACAAGCATAAATACATAAGTCAACTGCAATATGCCAATAAATTATCAAAATCAATCATATATCAATGTAATTTTTAGGGATAGGATATTTTGATATTGGTATCAAATTAAAAAGTTTGACACTCAATTCTAACAGTTAATTTTTGCCAAATCGACTGTTATAATTTATTAGGAATGATTAATTAATTAATAAATATAATCTAATAAATTATAACCGTCAGATTGATAAAAATTAACGGTTGAAGATTTGATACCGGTATCAAAGAAAGCACTAATTTTTAACCTAATATACTCAATTTACTCAAAGTAAGTTTATCAAGGAATTTTTGAAAAACTGAGGGAAGGGGATTAGTTTTGTGCTGGGTTATCAAGACTGAGACGAGTGAGAAAGGTAGTATTAGTATTTGTGTTTTTCTTTTATTTACTTTTTTCCCCCTCTTTATGTTTAATTAAAATCTTGTGGGTTGTTTACCAAAAACAAAAAAAAAAAACATTGTGGGTTAATTATTAAGTAGAATAATAATGGTACGTACTTACACATGCTTTTACATTACTTTGATTAACCTAACTTATTATTAAAAAAATTTAATTAACAATTTATATATACTTAACAACTTTCTTACTTATAGTTAATTACGAATTCTGTTATTAATTTCTTTTGATTTGATAGTTAAGTACAAGAAATTTTTTAATTAAACAAGTTTAACAATGGGTCAATAAAAATTAAGGAAAAATATTTTGATTTTGCTACAGAAATTTTTTTTTTACTGTACTTATATAAAAGTGAATGTATCCTATTATAATAAAAAAGAAGAAGAAATTAATGAAATATAATAAGACTCATTCATTTTTATGTGACTATAACAGGAAAAAAAATTGACAATAAAAACAAAAATATTAAATCTTATAAATAATGCCAGATAATATGAGTATAAATTTGTATGAGTATTATTTTATTATATATGACTGCGTAGTTGGGGGTTAGGTTTTAGGTCCAAGGAATCGGATCAATGTGGGGTTTGATTTTGCTAAGACAGCATGCGCATGTGGACCCACTATTTCTTCCATGGAAGGCCAGAGTTATTTAATGCTTGCTTTCACTGGTTATGTAAAATTATACTTGGAAGAACTGGATTTAGAGTTTGAATTTAATTCTCACTCGTATTTAGTTATATGTTCAATTTTTATTTGAAAAAAAATGAAAATTTAATAATATATAAAATTAATAATATATTAATTTATCAATTAAAAACATTTTTAAATAATAATTATGATAATAAGTTTTTAAATAATTTGATAATATATAATTAGATGATAACCTAAATTGAAAATGCATCGGAATTAAGTCTTTAACTTTATAAATTAAAATAAAATCAAAAATCATTAAATTTATTGGGTTGCCACTTGCCAATATAAAAAAAAAAACGATATATATTCTGTTTTTTATTAGGGTAATTGTCTTACTTAATTCCAACTAGTCATGTTATATATATATTAGAATCGAAACAAAAGAATGGTCAAATCCTTCAAGCCAGATAAGCTAATTATTAATTTTTAGGTATAACCAGCAGAACAACCATAATGTAAATGTCTCCATCCAAAATCCTGCATCTTAAATAAGAAAACATTTGGTCCTACTTCATTTGTTGCCCCAAAATTAACCTTTCTCACTCCCTTAGTACTTGGTTATTTTTGGCTTATGATCACTGGCCTTCTTTTCCTCACTTCAATAGGGTAGCTGAAACTCATTATTGATTCCTCTAGCACCTCGTGATTCACAACTTTTTTTTTTCAGTTTCTTAAATATAAGAATATAATATACATAACCTTAGTGAATCTACATAAGAACAGTTAACGCTTTTTAATAAATGAAAATTGAACCCTTTTTTTTTTATCTTATTACAAAAAGTAATGTTAAGTGGATAAATTACCACAAATTTTATTTCATAATTGTTACTGCTTGCACTAGCTAGTCTATATTTGTTGGATATTACTCATAATTCGTATTCAGATAATAATTTTATTGGTTGGATGCAAAAAAATCAATTCGAACTGGGTTCGGACGAGCCAACATGGTGGGTGTGTGGGGCAGCATCCCCAGAGATCCGGTACTATAATAGATCTTGGGCTTATATTTTTTTTTAGTAGTTTGATTTTGGATCTATAATTAAATAACTACTTTTACATAAGGTTTATAAGCTTATTTATATTCCTCTTGTAAATAAAGTGTTATATAACGAATGCGGTGAAGAGAATATAGTGAAACATTGCTGGATGTAGCTCACATTTAAATGAATCACGATAAATCTGTATATCCATTGACTTTTTTTTCTCTCTTTTCTGTTTTGCGATTATGTATGTGATTGTTTCGGTCTCAACATGATTATGATGATGCGAGAGTACTTACGTTGGTACTACAACGTTCAAGTTAAAGAAGATATAAATAAAATAAGCGAAGTGTATAGGTTAGAATCAACATATCTAAAGCAACCCTGTGGATCTGCTTAAATGGTTAAAGTGAGATACATTATGGTTGTGTAACATTCAAATAATGTTTGGCTATGAATGATGGAGGAGAATCTTTCCCGTATAGGAGTTTGGCTACAATGATTGACGGAATATTTGGTAGTTCATGAGGTAATTGATCATATGAAATTACATTATATTTAAATATATTATGTCTAAGCCGATTGGATTTTGTTAGAAATATATAATATAAAATTATTGATGAACTTTCACTTCACAACTTAAGTTTTTAGATGAGATTGTGTACCCCAATTCAATTCAACAATTTAACTTTGTAAGTGAAGGCCTAATCAATGATTATATATTATATCTCTCTAACACATTTACTCATGTAAGGGACCTTTGAGCTTGAAGCATGGATATTGAATAGATCCCTTTGTTTCACTTTATGCTGACTTAATTCCATTAAAAAGTGAGATGATGAGGATCGAACTCGTGATCTCGTGGTCACCTTGACTATGATATCATGTTAAGCAATCATCTCACCAACTAAAAACTTAAGCTTTTTGAGTGAAGGCTCAATCGATGATTTTATATTATATCTCTCTAACATATTATTATTTATCGTGATATCAGAGCCTCCATGATCACGAGCTCAATACATGTAATTGGGTTAGGGATCAAAGAACTTATGCAATAAGGTAACATTAATTTTTGAACTAATCATTTGTTTATTTTTTCAAAAAATATTTCTTTTAAAGTAAGATTGACTCTAATATAAGTGTTAGAGATTAATATAAATCATTAAGAAGGCCCTCACCTAACACCTTAAGATTTGGCCCTCACCTAACATCTTAAGATTTTGGGTTAAAGTGGTTCTTTACATGGTATCAGAGCTTGAGCGACTACAAGATCACAAGTTCGATCCTAACCGCCCCCCACTTTAAAGTGGAATTAAAACAAAAAACACAAAATGATAAACCAAAGATTAGGCATATTCAATATCCACACTTCAAGTCCAAATGACTCTTGTGTGACGGGGTGTGTTGGAGATTAATATAAATCATTAAAAAGGCCCTCACCTAACACCTTAAGCTTTTGGGTTGAAGTGGTTCTTTACGTGAGGATATATTTACTCTTGGATTTTAGTACATTAAAATTAAAATTCACTTTAAATTAAATGAACAATAGATACACTCTTATTTTGTCACTTTAAACAAACATCGTTCTTCTTTTTTGTTCAAAAGAAAAATAAAATCATCTATTTATTTTTCAATGCAAGAGAAAGACATAATATTTTGAAATCTCTTTCTTGCACATGTTCGAAAAATTATATCATCTCACGTTTAAGAGTATGAGAAATGAATCATTTCATGATAAAATTTCACATAATAAAATTATGTGAAGATTTTTTGTGTTTATCTTCCTCTTTATAAACATTAAATAGGTGAAAACTCATAAAAAATTATGAACATTTATAAAGAGATCGGATAGGTTTAGTTTAGTTTTGTTTCTTGTTTTTAGAATTCTTTTCATAGAATTATTTTATGAGTTTTATAATTCTCATTTGACATGAGAATTCAAATTTTCCTACACACCCTTCGATTTCAGTGCTGACATGGGTCCTACATATAATTTTTTCTAACACATGGGTCCCACATGCTTTTTATCTTTACAACATGAGAATTGAATTCTCATTTAACATGAGAAAATCAAACCCCTTATTTTATAGAACAAAAATATCAACAAACTTGTTTGATGAACTTTGTATGAGAATAAATTTCAAAAGTTTGATGATGCTCCAATTGCAATGGTGATTGTGGCGGCGACTGCTGCAGGAGCAGCTACGACGACGATGGCTCCAATGTGGCAACAGTAACAACTTTAGTGGCGGTTGTGGTTTAAATTAGTGTTTAAAAACCCGGCTCGACCATCGACCCGGTAGAGGTCAGAGGTCATGGGGTCACGGGTTCAACCGGGGGTCATAGAGTCACTACGCTGACCCGGTTTTATATATTAAAAAAATTAAATATTATATATATATATATATATATATATATATCCTATATGAAAATATTAAAAAACAAACCATCAATCATCAAAGATTCAAAATATACTTAACATAATACACCAATTACAACCGCAAGTCAATATTACACAACCTAATTAAAGTATCAAGATATCAAAGTACAAAACTCATATTCTAATGGAGTTAATGAAAAGTAACATCATCAAATTCAGGCTCTCCTTGTCCTTCTCCAC